TGTCTGATCCATCTGTAATATTATGCTTTATCAAAGATGCTCTATTCCTATTCCTCTCAGACTTTTGACTGTTGTGAAACTCTTTTCCCACCTCTTTCCCCTTCTGGTTAACTCCAACTCATTCTTTAAATTTTAGTTTAAATATCAGCTCTTCTTTAGACCCATTTGTAATCACACTGACTTGATAAGGTATTAGTCCATGTGCTCTTCTTATACCACCTTTAAATTTCCCCTGCCAAAGCACTTAGGACACTGCATTACAATTGTATATATTCTTGTTTTATCTCCAAAAACATTGTATGCTTCTTCAAAGGCAGAGACTCACTTCCTGTTGCATAGCAGGTTTTCTCTCTCTCTCTCTCTCTCTCTTTCTCTCCACTAATATGTATTAAATCATTCCTATTAATATGCACAACTAATTTACCTTCTTTTAAAACTATTTTTCCCTGTGATAACACCCAATCAGCATTAACAAAAAAGCATGGAATTTTAGGGTTGGGAAGGACCTTTAAATTAAATGTTTTTTATCTGAGTTCTAGGCCAGTTCTGTCACTTATATTTTACATAAGCTTAAGACATATCATTTTCTTTCCCTAGGATTTAGAGGCCATCTGTTTAAATCCCTCTAGATTAAGTTCCCTTGCTGTCTTTGATTCTAGGTTAATTTAGAAGTGGCCTCAAATCATTCACATGCTTTTAACATATGTCAAACAAAAACCAAAACAAAAAGAAAAAGCTGTAGCTTTGTGCCCATAGATAAGGTAGTCGCTTCACTGTCATCTTTGTCTATCTTGTTTCTGACAATTTTGTTAATATTTTTAAAGAAATCCTGCAATAAAACCACCAATTCTAAGCACTAAAGCCTATTCTTATTTTGCTATTTGTTTGAATGTTTTCTTTATGACCACAGATAGCAGATAAGACATGGCATGGTTAATAAGTAGGGCTGACTAAATACATAGCCAATGTGGTTTTGTATATTCAGAGAGCTATGTTTTAATGTATAAATATTGAAAAAGAGGTTTTTAAGGGAAAACATTCTTTCTTTGTGAAGTCAGCAACGCATTTCTATTCAGTATTAACATTTAATATATCAAGAATAATCACAAAAATGCAACACTGGTAAGTGATGAATGAGAATTACTCTTTGGCTAGTATTTTATACTAAATAGAGTCCAGAGATAATTGACCACTGAAATTTTCTTCTAAATCAAACAAGCTGATCTTTCAAATATAAAATTAATCATTTCATTGATATTAACCTTCAATCCCTATTCCATTAAATCTCTAAATTCATGCTAGGGATGCCATAGGAGGCAAATTAAAGTGGGATGCTTATAAAATGAGAAAGAGAAAATTGTGCCTTCTGAAGAAGCCATTTAATCTTAATAAATTATTTTTAATATTCTGTTTCCAATGAGGCATCACATTGACCATAAAATAAAGTGTAAAAGGGCACTGGTTGAGGAAACTGAGTTACAAAGAAACCACTGCACCCTTGAACAGTTATACCTGCAATAATTTGCTTCATAAATTTTTATGGTGTATTTTACATTTTTTAAGAAAGCGAGTATTCCCAACAGTGTCATAATTAGAATTGTGACAGTGTGAGCGCAACTAAAGGGAAATTATATTTGATCTCTGGAGTATTGAGCTAACTAGTTTTAAATAGGAATTTGTTGCTTTGTTGAAGGTATATTAGACTTGACACAGAAGATGTTCCTTGAATGGAAGGCTCCTGCTCTCAGATGGCCCGCACCTGCAAACACAGCTTCACAGAACAGTTAAGTGAAAATTAAGAAGACCCAGGAATTGGAGATGATTTGCCTAGGAGATTTATGGGGTATTTACTGAAATAAAAGGTCTCAATCTTTAAATGTCAAGTGTTAACATGCACCGTATGCTAGCCCTTTCTTCCAGAAATTTTATTGTGCAGTGCTTTATCTCTGTAGTGTGAGAAGCCAAAGCTCTCACTAAGAAATATCCTTCTGAGGCACATTCTATATTTAACAAGCCCATTTCCCCATTTTCTGTGCAGAATTGCTCTCTCTACTCTATACTATAAGGATATTTTTCTGAAAAATAGGATGGAGCTGACTTAGTTGTCAAGATTCAGGCAGTTTTGATAAAATATGTGCTTCCTTCTTAATCTAGTCAGCTTCTACTACCAAAGCACAAATACGCTCTTAGAAACCTTTTATCAATGGCTCTGGATTGCTGGGGACAGTGCTGAGCACATTACAGCTGCTCATTAAAAGCTATTCCTTGTTTCTCTAATTGTTCAATATATGCATTGCATCATGGGGCCTGGACTACAAGGGCACGGGAGGGGTAAGTGTTCTGTTCAAAGGTTCATGAATGGGAGACCACAGTCTTCTATAGCCAGGAAATCCATTGGCAAAGATAACAAAACAATTAAATAAATGGCAACAATTTTTGTGTTGGACTCTCCTCTCTACAGTTTATAATCAAAACAAAAACACCTTGGAACAGCATTTGGTTTATATAAGTTATAGAAGGTTATACTGTTTTTCTACTAGGGTTCATTCTACTTAGTGATAAAAAATGATAATATAAGGAGACTTTGCCATAGAATGATGGTGGATCTGGAACTTTTCTGACTTGATCATTGATGTCACTCTCTGTGGTGACCCCAACTATTCAAAGCTGTGAAAAAGTCTGTGGACTTTTGGGAGGTAAGAGATTGAAAGCCAACCCTCTTCTTGCTGGGTGTCACTGTGAGCTATTGTTTCGGTGTTAACTAGGATAGCCCCAACCAAGATTGTCGATATGGAAAGAGAAACATGCCTCAGGAGAACATGGGATACATGGACTGTATCACCTGGAACAGCTCAAGAAAAAGGGCAGTTTTGAAGCAACTTGAGGCTAATATGATCATTTGTTTGATAATAAGCCATTCTGGCACAACTGGGCTTGGAGAAAAAAAAGAATGTTAGAGAGAATTGAAGAGTCTCATTTGGAAATCCCAGCATGTAGCACCTTTTGATAAGCTTAGCTTTCGGGAAGAGGAATCATCTTACCTTGCAGGCTTGTTTAGAGATCTGTACCAATGACTTTTTCTGGCAGTGGAGAAAATCATCTCTCATGCCTGGAGCGGCCAGGGGTACCATGCAGCTGGGAGAAACAAAATGTAGTGAGCTGACCATATCCTTTGCTTGGCATTTGGAACCATGACCAACTTCCTTTGGACTAAGTCTTCAGGTTCCTTAAAAGATTCAAAAAGTGATGGAGGCTCAAAAGGTAGGACATGGACTCCCTGCTAATAAGGCTTTTGAGAGCTGGAACAATTAATTAGAATAAAAATTAAAGGAATGGATTTTTGGAACAAGTCATACTTGTTAGAAATCTTATGATCTACCCAGATATCCACAGAACATCTTTTCAATGCCTCCAGGCACATCAAACTCAGCTACAACATGGAATCCAACATCTGCCCCAATAACCAACACTTTACTATTTCTCCTCCATTTCTTATCTCCATTTTTCCCCCTAGTTCATCTTCCCAGTTACCAGAAACAGAAAGTATAGAGTCATTTTAAATGTTTCTTTCTATTTTATATCTCACATCAATCAATCATGATTTCTAGCTGTTTACAACCTCACAAAGACCTCAAATTCAGTGTGTCTACTACATCCCTGGGACCACTGTCATAGTGCAGTCATCATGGGGTTAGGTTTAGACCATTGCAATAATCTCCTAAGGGGAATTCTTATGTCTAGCCTGGCACACTTCACTCTATTTTCCATTTTGTTACCAGATAATTACATGCTTTTCTTAAAAAATATATATGTAATATACACATACATATGTGTGTATGTATGTATGTGACTATGTGGACTTTCAGTGGCTTAACTAATATTTCTTCCAGATTGAAGTCCAAAATCCCTAGCAGAGTATACAAGTCCTTCAATGAGCTGAACTTTGCCTGCTTCTACCACTAAACTAAGACTCTTGCAGAAAGTACAAAATTTATTCATCTAAAAAAAATCCAGAACCTAGTATGGTGCTTTGTGTATAGCAAATACTGAAATATTTATTAAAATTGAACTGAATTAATGGAAAGCTGAATCTTTATAGTGTTCAAGTCCATTGTGTAATAATTATCTTTGGTGCCATTTCTGGCCTGTGATGTAGTTTTAGTTACCCTGGAGAAATTCTCCTCATGCCTCCTCTCTCTCTGCTGGTGAAGATTATACCTGCTGCTACTTTATTCCAGAAACTGGATAACCTTCTGCCTTCTTTTTGTGTTGAGTGACCCTTCTGACAGACCCTGTGGCTCTGACCCTTTAAACAGTAGAAGTATCCTGGCGTTTTTACTCGGCAGTGGATCGTGATATTTAGAAATCCCTTCCTTGAGCACCTTTGATTCTCCAGGGATGCCCATAATAAATATTTACATTATTAAAAGAGCTATGAGCACAGTATAAAAACGAGTACACAAGGAAGTCACTACTTGGCTTTTGATTATGTCTATCTAAATGAAAAATGAATGAGTATGTAATTAATAATAAATGTCCTTGTGTTCTTGTTTTAATTTTAACTCATCAGAGGATGTTAAAATTAAAGTGGAGCCAACATTTGATTTCCTGTTTTATTAAAGGCAGAGTGTGTTCCACATGTAGCCAATTTGTGCAACTTCATAAAACAATATCTGTGTTACCACTTATTAGCTATTGACTATATACCTGCTACGTATTTTCTATTAGCTTCAGTGGTTTTCATTTATAAATGGGGATAATAATAATGTGTATGACATAGATTTCTTTATGGCATTGAATGAAATAATTTTCCTGATGTATAGTAACCACTAAATATGTACTAGAGTGACAATTGTATTTGAGCCTCACCCATTATGAGTTAAGCAGTCTAGAGTTTGGGTCCTTTTTTGTTATTTTAGAGATGAAGCAATATTTTCCTTTCACAGAATTGAAGTAATCTGTCAAAGAACACTTAGTTCTTCTAAATCTTTTTTTTTTCAGTTTAGAAGACTGTGTCAAGGCAAATGTCTTACTAAAGAAGGGGTAAGTGAGTATGATTTTTGCTGCTAATGATTGATATAGGAGTGGAATTTCAGAATTCCTGTCTCTCTGGCTTTCCTTTCATCCCATGACTGTCAAGACTACAACAATATTTTTTATCGGGAACATTTTTTCTAGACCTGTCTGGACTTCCATGTACCAGCAGCTTGGTGATTGGTTCTAGCTAATGAAATGCTAGAGTTCTCTGCCTTTCAGTTGAGGCCAGCCTTGGAAATGTATCTTTTCTAAAAGATCAGGTCAAAGTCAGCATCTTATCAGGATCAAGAACCTTCTGTCCATTCCTTATGGGGTGTAAACATTTTCTCACAGAAGTGAGACAGGTGGGAGAGAAATTATCACTAGTTTGCATAAGTATTTAAAATTATTAACACTATCTAATGTGGTTTCCTGGAGATGAAGTATAATGGACAGGATGCAGGCCCCTCCTGCTTAAAATTTATGGCTACCCACAAAAGAACTTACCTCCCAAATTAGAAGGAGCTACTCTGACAGGGACAATCAAGACAACCCAACTGCACCTGATGGCATTTTCTTTCTTCTCTTCTCTTCTCTTCTCTTCTCTTCTCTTCTCTTCTCTTCTCTTCTCTTCTCTTCTCTTCTCTTCTCTTCTCTTCTCTTCTCCTCTCCTCTCCTCTCCTCTCCTCTCCTCTCTCTCCTCTCCTCTCCTCTCTCCTCTCCTCTCCTCTCCTCTCCTCCTCCTCCCCTCTCCCTCCCCTCCCCTCGCTCCCCTCCCCTCCCCTCCCTCCCTCTCCTCCCTCTCCTCTTTTCTTTCTTTCTTCCTTCCTTCCTTCCTTCCTTCCTTCCTTCCTTCCTTCCTTCCTCCTTCCTTCTTCTTTCTTTCTTTCTTTCTTTCTTTCTTTCTTTCTTTCTTTCTTTCTTTCTTTCTTTCTTTCTTTTCTTTCCTTCTTTCCTTTCTTTCTTCTTTCTTTTTTTTTCTGTATCCTTAGTTTCCAGGCTATAGCTCACAGGGCTGTGGAACTCTCAAGAGCAAGGTGATGTTTTCCTCATTGCTATACTTTTAGCATCTCTGTATCTTTTAGCATTTATGATCCAGCAGTGCCTGGACCCAAAATGATGCTTTGACAATTGATGAGTGGATGAATGCTTAACTGTGTTGCTGATTTGAAGTTAGTTTTATACTCTCTACCTTTTCACATAGTACTCCATATGGGAACTTGGGAAAGAGAAATTGATGGTAGAAGGATGCTATATCCTTGCCTTTCATGACCCATCTGACCTCCCCACCCCCACCGCCATTCAGTTGAAGAGTTGCACATGCTCATAGAAACTCTATTCTGAACACATCTAACTAAATGTGTAGAAGAGTGGAATCCCCACCTCACCTCCAATACTGGGGCCTGGGCAGGTGTGAAAATATTGTTCTAGCACTTCATATTTATTGGAGGACAATGTGCCCCAGACTATTGAAGTGATGCTTGATTGTCACACGAGATTTCAATGCTGAGATTTGGACTCTCTTTCATACAAGGAGTTGAGGTTGAAATACTCTGGATGGATAGATTCTGTGCTACAGAAAAAAGACAAGAAGTGTCACTTTGACCATTAATATTTCCGAAGGCAAAAATATCATATAGTGGGAGAGATTTCTTATTTCATTTAAGTGGGAACTAGTAACAGGCTCCATTTGTGGAAGGATGGCATGTATCCTATTGAGAAAGTTCTGGATTTTTTTTCTCCCCTCCTCCCATTCCCCTTACACATTAGGAAACATGAGCATAGTGAGTTTTACATAGTGTATTTGTCATGTTATTTATTTTATTTTATTTTATTTTGAGACAAAGTCTCATTTTGTTGCCTGGGCTAGAGTGCCATGGTGTCAGCCTAGCTCATAGCAACCTCAAACTCCTGGGCTCAAGCTATCCTCCTGCCTGAGCCTCCCAAGTAGCAGGGACTATAGGCATGCATCACCACACATGGCTAATTTTTCTATTTTTAGTAGAGACAGGGTCTCACTCTTGCTCAGGCTGGTCTTGAACTCCTGACCTCAAGTGATTCTCCTGCCTTGGCTTTCCAGAGTGCCAGGATTACAGGCATAAGCCACCATGGTGGACATTTTATAAATGGTCTCTAAGCCAGTTTTTTTAACAGCTCTCTTATGGAAGGTAATGCTAATGTCAAGGTACATGGGGGATAGTAGATGAGTTAAGTCAAGTCCCTTGCAAGAGCCATGCTTTCTCCTACCCAAATGCAAAGAAGTCTTCTCACCCAGTAAAGGAAAGCTGCATTTACTTGCTTTTGGAATACCAAAATTTTAGGAGGAATACATTCAAGTATTTCTCTGCATGTTAAATCTCTTATCTTCTTATTAATAACTATTGGGCTATTTCTCAGATGGAATTTGAAATGTTATAGACGTTTTCTCAAAAGGGTCACAAGGTTGCAAACCTCACCATTAAGGTTAGGTTGCCAGGATCTGAAAGGGAATAATTAATTCAATGCTTTTGATCTTAGCACTGAAGAAGAACCAGAGCTTCTGAAGATTGGAAGGACCAAAGAAGGAAAGAAATATGAAAGAAAGTGGAGAGAAAAGGCAGAGTGGGGCAGGATAGGGGGAAGAAAGAAAAGGAAAAAAGAAAAGGAGAGAAGGAAGGAAGGAAGGAGAGAGGGAAGGAAGAAAGAAGAGAGAAAGGAAAGAGGAGAGAAAAGAAGAGACAGACTATAAACTAGGAGAGGGTTTGTGAAGAGAAGCACCAGGAAAAATCACTCTAGCTTGCCTCTAATTAGTGTGAAAAAGAAATTGATGAAGTGAACATTTTTTTCCCCTTTTGAAAAAAGACAGCACTATCATTTGAAATTGGAACTGTTTACAAGACAAAGTAAGTTACATGTGAACAACACTATCGGTGTTCCAACACCTAGTCCTGCACCTTGTTGTGTATCCACTTAAGAAAAACTGGCTCCAATTAGAGATCTCCTGTCGAGCATCTTATTTATCAGCTTCCAGAACAGCTGTGAGCCATTCGGGATACCACCAGTTTCTCCTCATTACACTCTTCTTAGAATTACAGATGTGCTTGGCTCATCCCTAGGGAGCCACGTTCTAGTAAACACATCCTTGTATGTTTCAGGGGCTTCTTGGAAATAAGCTTGTGAACACAGGCTGACATGGTCAGTTGAAGTTGGCTTAAGAGACTTAAGGCTGTAAATACCCCTGTAATTTCTTGGGAAAGAAAAGCTGGCTATTGAAAGGGATTTAAGATGTGCAGAAAAAGGGAGGGAGCTGGTTAAAATAACACATTTTATTTTTAATCAGCTTTACCAAACATGTTGTATTGGGAATTTGTGACTGAGGAGCCACTGCTGGAAGCATACACTTTATTGTCACAAATTTATTTAATCAGAGGTTAAGACACTGAATACAATAAGAGGAAATGAGTGAATCAATGTATTTCAACTAATGTACATATTTTTGCTTTGATAGTATAATATAAACAACTGTATTTGAAAATCTTAGACGGTGAGTTCTTTCCACTCCTGGAGAATGACTTAGCAGAAAATGCGTAACATATTTCAGAAGCAGCCTCAACAGCTATTTTCTCTCCTCACCACTGCTTGCTCTCAAGAGTAGATCATTCTAAGTATTAATGGGTGCAGTCATGGTTATAGTTATTATTGATAGAGGAAAGAAGGTTTTTATGTTGGCATACATGGAAGTATCTGGAGAAAAGGATCATTTCATCCAGGATATAAGAATCAGTTACAGAATTTACTGAGAAAGAAAAGTGTGGCAATGCTGCATGTTGGTCACTATTTTTTTGCAATGGGTCCTTAGGAATTCAGTGTTTTTTTTATTTCAGCACATTATGGGGGTACAAATGTTTAGGTTACGTGTGTTGTGTTTCCTTCCACTTACCCCCTGGAGTCAGAGCTTCAAGTGTGTCCATCCCCCAGATGGTGCACATCGAACTCATTATGTATGTATATACCCATCCCTTCTCCTCCCAACCCCCACCCCCACCAACTGCCCAACACCTGATAAATGTTATCCCTATATGTGCACTTAGATGTTGATCAGTGAAACCAATTTGCTGGTGAGAACATGTGGTGTTTATTTTTCCATTCTTGGTATACTTCAATTAGTAGAATGGGTTCCAGCTCTATCCAGGAAAATTTTTTCACATCTCACTGTTGCTGCATTCCTGGCAGTCCTTCTCACACTGATTTGTCTGGGTCCTGTGTCCTGCTGTAGCCAATACAATGTCTCTGATAGAATTAGAGATCTGATAAGTACTTACACATTGGGGTCTTCCTTCTTATGCTATTCTTGAGAACCCTGCAACTACCTTGTGAAGAATCCCAGGCCAAGCTGCAGATAACTGCTGACCCCTGAGGGATTCCAGCCAGTCCAGATAAAAAGCAATTACCCAGGAGGTCCTCAAAAACCTAAACCAAGTGAATAATTGTTTTAAACCACTAGGTCTTGGGTTGTTATTCTAAATAGCAAAAGTGAACTAATACAGAAAGCCAGATAATGTAATGGATTAGGATGTGAATTGGAGTCATAGATCTATATTTGGAATCTATCATTTGCCAGACACTGTGAAAAATACTGGAAAACCAGACAAACATTATTCCTTCAGTTTGTTCTGGAAGACAATGTTACAAGCAATTATACTAAAGAATTATAACTATTATATTAATAAAAAGAAGAGCCTAGAATACAGAGATAGGGGCACTCAACCCCATCCTGGGGATGTGGAGCAAAGCCACAAAGGCAGAGCCTTGATGATGGGTTGATGTTATTTAAAGAAATGGGGGAAGAGGTAAGATGTACAGAGTGGGGGTTGTATGAGGTTCCAGACAGAGTGAATAACACACATAAAATCCTGGAGGTGAGAATGAGGATTGTCTGCGTCAAGAAATAAAGGAATTTTAGAACCAGGTCTAGAACTAGCTTGCTATTTGCTATGCCTTTGATGAACTTCTAGTGTGCCTCACTCTGGGAATTTTCTGCTCCACTT